AAAGAACCATGGGAAATCTGGCAACAAGTACAGAAAGGGGGAGAATCCTGCAAATGGCTTTCACACTAGAGCAATTGTGCAAACAAGGCAAATTCATTAATGAAACGGAAATGAATTTACAGTATTTTCCCCAAAATGCCTATTTGCTGGTTCATGTCACTCTCCTGTCAGATGTGAAAACCATTTGTGCAATTGAGCTTAATATGCTGGATAACTGTGGGTTCTGACTCGTTTAAACTTCCCTATTCTCCCTGTGTAATAAACTCTGTAGTTACTCAGCATACACTGCCCTCATTCAAAACTTTTAGGATGGGTTACACAGAGCACTAACACAACACTAGAGGGCCCCTGAGAAAGAGCCTGTTGTGATACATTCAAGTCTTAAGTTGTGGATTCTATTCAGAAACCAACCAAAAACTCAGCTCTTTATAATAATAATAATAACAACTTTATTTTTATATCCTGCCTTCTGCCAAGGCAATCAAGGTGGCTTACATAATATAAAAACAATAAAACATACCTTATGTACTGCAGTCACTCACGCATAGACCACAAGGTTGCGAGTTCAATACCAGCCAGGGCTGAAGCTCGACTCAGGCCTGCATCCTTCTGAGGTCGCTAAAATGAGTACCCAACTGTTGGGGGGCAATCAGCTCACAGTTGTAAACCGCTTAGACACCCCATATGAAGCGGTATATAAATGAAGCTGCTTTGCTTTATATTAAATGATAATGACAATAATAACAATTAAACCCCTCTTTAAAAAAATTAATGCAATATTAAAATAAAAACATCAAATTAAAAACTGTCTGCATTCTAGAGCACCAATGAGTTTGTAGAAAGGGTGTATCTGTGGAATTCCAGATCTGTGGAATTCCCCCACTTCTTTTGCAATTAATCAATTCAGTGCAAAGGAGGGACCCAGATTGAAATGGAGTGATCTAATCTGGGAAGGCCTGCCGGAAGAGATCTGTCTTTTTAAAGCTGTCCAAGTTGGTTAATGACGGATCTTCTCCGGCAAGGCGTTCCACAATCTGGGGGCGACGACAAAGAACGTCCTCTGGACATGGAGAAATATATTTGGGTGTCATCGGCATATTGATAACACCCCGCTCCATGTCTCCGGATGATTTCCCTCAGCGGCTTCATATAGATGTTAAATCGCATTGGGGACAGGATGGCACTCTGAGGGACGCCACAATTAAGCTCTGTTTTTGAAGAGCAACTGTCCCCAAGCATCACCCTCTGGAACCTGCCTCAGAGGAAGGAATGGAACCACCGAATTACAGTGCCTCCAATTCCTAACTCTCCCAGGTGTTTCAAGAGGATGTCGTGATTTATCGTGTCAAAAGCTGCTGAGAGATCCAAAAGCACCAACTGGGTCACACTTCCCCAGTCAATGCTTAAGCGTAGGTCATCTACCAGAGCGACCATGGCAGT